AAAAGAGAAAAAAAAAAAAAAACTTAAGAGGACAGTGACATATCTCCAAGCGGTCGACATAAAGAGCAAAAAATCGGGGTAGATGGATCTGAGATTAGACTTACAAATTCACCAACTTCAATAAATTCCAAATGTATTATTGTTATGTCACTAAGAGTGGTATTAGACACAACTAGACTTAGACTTAGACATGACCAAGAGTCGATCCGGCCCGATGACCTGACCAAGAACCTGCTCGGATTTACCAGTTTTTGAACCAGACCCTTAGCCCTTAAGGGCTAGTTCCGCGTTTTCATTATCCTTTTTTTTGACCCGTCGGTTTCAGGCCGGTTCCGTGTCGAAAAACGGGTCACAATTGATTATATTTTATTTTATTTATTATTTTTTTACCACCAGATCGTGTTGGGCTGGTTCATTTGAACCAATGGTTAGATATAGTCGGGTTGGTTCCGAGTCCAACATTTGAGGCCTGCTCATCCGACGGGTGGGCCAGGACGTGAACTGGCCCGGCCTTTGGACACGTCTACTTAGACACTTCACGTCCCGGCCTTTGGACACGTCTACTTCGACAACTAACTTTTTCGAACAGGTATACGTAACATTAGATTTGAATATCATTATTTTTTTTAAAAAAAAAAAACTAAAACATGACATTTCAGAACATAAATATGTATTTTTTAATTTTTTTGTTGAATAAATATGATGAGTCAACACGATTATCAAATAAGTTCACATATACAAGAATTTGATTATTATATTATAAAAATAGTTAAATAGATAGGGATTTTGGCTTAAACATAATTTTACCCGGTAAAAAAAATTATTAATGATATAATAATAACTTACTTTTGGTTTGAATAAAGTGAATCAAAATTCAACTGTCTTGCCCGGATTGATGAATGGTCGAATTCTGATCCAGAACCCAGCAACTTGAGTTACGTGACAGCCCAAGTAACTGAGAAGATAAGTAGGCCTAGTTAGTTAAAGCAAAGCCCATCAAAGCACCCAAAAAAAAAAGCCCATCAAAGCACTGTTCACGTTCCCAGCCCAACTACGAAAGCTCCAATTTCTTTAGGCAATTGAGGGCGTGAAATGAATATAAATTCAATTGGTTTTTTTTTTTTTAATCATAGTTAATTTTGAAAAAAAATAGTATTGTTAGTTGTTAGTAAAAATATATGTTTAAATTAAAATAATATTTAAAATATAACAATTAAAGTTGATTTGATGTAAAACTGTGTTAATATTGGTTGATATTATTTAATTATATGATATTATGAAAATAGTGGAGTTGAATTAAAAATAAAATAAAATTAAAGTTAAGTTGAATTTGAGTTTTGAT